TATCATTTTACTTGATCCTATCCACCCCCACCCCCCGGTCCGTGGTGCAAAAAAGGTTGGGGACCGCTGATCTAGATAACCATTTAAAGAACATACAGGACACAACTTGAGTTAATTACTGACATACCGTTTCAGATAACTTTGTGGACATCTTTTGTCTCTTCTCATCCTCCTTATAGTCTTCACTTTCAAGCAGGGACCTCTTTTGTCTCTGGCTGCTGACCATGAAATCTTCCATAACAACATCCTGCTCTAAAGGCTGCAACCTGAAGACTGGATTGGAAGTGCTGTCCTTTGTAGGAGTATTTTCAAGATTTGTGGTGTCAATCATTTCAGAAAAATCTTCACAGTCAAGCAGCTCTTCATCCTGAATACAGATGTTATCCTCTCCACTCAGCTGATTGGTGGCATTGATGGTGAATGTCTTTGTAGGTTCTCTATCAGAAGCAGACTTCTTTACCTGATCTGCACTTTTTCTTTTGGGAAGTTTTGGTTTAAAACCTCCCACTGAAAGTCTTGACATTAGCTGTTTTGTCTTTAAGCTAGAAAGAGTCATACTGGGTGCAACAAAGGGCTGTTCTGCTGTTGTAGGCTTCTCAGCTTCAGCATCATTCATATTGTTTCCTGAACCCACTTCAACCTCTGGCTCTACTGGTGATGAGGTTTTGCATTTTGAGTTTTCGTCCAGATGAGGCAACGGAGCTGTGCAAGTTTCCATATCTTCATCAGGAGCTGTATTTATGAAGTGGCTCAAACGCCTGATATTTGACTTGATATCAGCTAAACTCTTTCGTCTAGACGTCTGTGACGGTGGGGTATTCTGATCTGCAGTACTAGGTGAGCTCTCCATTGCCTGTTGTACGCATGTTTGAACTTGTTCTTTTACATCCTCCAGCTCATCTGACTTGGATGCCTCTAGTGCTCCGTTGTTCTCCAAAGTCAAATCCAATTCCTTGAAAGATTTTGAATGAGGGTCTTGTTTTGAAGACATACTTTGAGGTGGGCCATCTGTTGCTGATACCAGACGTTCCATAGGATCCTCAATCATGCCAATACAGGCACTGATTTCCTCAGCCTCAGTTTTATTTGGTGATTTGCCTGCATTACCTGGTACCAAGCTTGGGGATTCATTTTCAGTGTCATGTTCTTCTGTTTTAGGGCAAGAATTGGATTCTGGACATGATGATGCATCTCCTTTAGTATCATCCTGGGCACAGCTTGTCAGAAAGACAGAGCTGTTTAATGCAGCGTGCTTATTGTGGGCCGAGGAAGGTGGGTTTGAATGCAGACCACAACTCTCACTTTCTGTCTCCTTCACAGAAGAGGTATCATTAAGATTATCTTTCATGGAGGTAATAGGTTGGTCTGACATAAGTGGATCTAACGATTGATTGCTGACAGCATCTGCATTCAAGTAGTGGGTCAGATTCATGGTTGGAACATTTTTGGAGTACTCTAAGGTTTTTTCTGTAGATTTTGGAAAAATGTCAATACTGGGTTGAGACTCTGGGTTTTGATTCTTTAAAATGCTTTTGGTGCCACTTCTGGTCTTGTCTACTAGGGTGTTGTTTATAGCCTCTACGTTGGCCAGTGAGGAGTCCAAAATCTGGGTCGATTTTTGGTCAGAATCAGTGGCGTTGCTTACAGTGTAGCTTTGGGTCACATCCTTTGTAGCATTGTTTGATACGAGCTTGGTCAGATTCTCTTTAGCAGGTGGAAGCTCATTTGAACTTGAAAGGACTTTAAAAGTCCGACTTTTTGCCACATCCTTTTTTGCATCATCTACCCTAAACCTTACATTTTCCTCACTGTCAGTAGGTAATAGGTCAACCTTTTGATGTGGAAGATTTAAACCATGTGCAATGGTCACAGTGTGACTCCCAGTCATGTCCATGTTGGCATCATCCACTGAGAACCTCACAGTTTTCTCTCCACTAGCAGGCAACAGGTTCTCGTTTTGGTGGGACAGCATTTTTAAATCTGTAGAAACTTCTACTGCTTCATTTGCATCAAATCTTACGGTTTTCTCTCCAAACGAGGACGCCACATTTGGAAGCGAGTGAAATTGTACATCACAGCTAACGTTGACTGTGTGGCATTGAGTGATGTCCATGCAGCCATCAGTGGCAGCAAATCTTACAGTTTTCTCTCCACTGTCTTTAGCATCAAACTCAACCTGAGGGAAGGGCATATACAGACAGAAACCATTCAACTTTAGTAAAATAGGTACTGGCTCTATAAGAAGAACACTTAAATGGACTTGTGGCTAAAATCATGTTTTTAATCTCACCTTATTTCTTTGTATCATCGTCTTTAAAGAGGTCTTCATTAGAGTGTCTGTAGTTAAAGATGGAAAAAAGATGTGTTAAAAATACTTCCTTTGAGAAATGATAACATTAACACTTTCAAGGTTTATAATTACTGTATTGGCCCGAATATAAGACAATGTTTTTTTTGGGATAAAAACAATGTGAAAATGTGGAGTCGTCTTATAATCGGGGTCTAACCAATTACACAGGCTAACAGTTGTCTGGGGTCGCTACAAGAACGCAACAGCACAGAGCGCCATTTTTTTTAAAAGCACCTCACTTTGGCCATCTTTCTATCACAACAGAGAAGAATTGACAAGGGTGCTAAAAATGACGAGTCGCTGCCCAGAAAAGAGTAGATTAAAAATCAGACAAGTTTGCAGACATTTCAGGCAGAGTTATGACAGCGAATTTAAAATAACAGTGGTCAGCCCAGGGGAGGGATCAAACAACTGTCAGTCAGCAAAGAAATACTACGTTACAGAGTACATTGTTAGAAGATTGCACGTTCAAAAAAGACAGGAAAAATGCAAACAGCAGAAGAAAACCTAAGCAAAAATTGCAGAGCTACAGGGTGAGAATAGGAGTGACAGTGAGGCATTGGATGCCTGTGACTAAAAGCCTCATCCAGGCTTTTGATAAATTCCGTGAGAAAAGTTCAGATTGCATTTGAGTTGAAGTGTTGCAAGATTTCAATTCAATGTGTTATTACTTTTTTTTTTTTTTAAACATGTCATGGTTCAATTGGACAAATCTTTTAATGCAATATCATTTCAAAATTTGTTGTTTTTTTTTTTTTTTTGGTCTTTTTGTTTTGTTCCTCAAAAGTGGTCCTGGAAAGAGGGGGTAGTCTTATAATCAGAGTTGTCCTATATTCGGGTTAGTACGGTACTTGTCTTTTGAATTATCTCACACCTTTTCACATAACTAACCCTTACCAAAGAGGCATTTTGAAAAGAGTTTTAACTATTACTTTACAACCTTTTTTCCCCTCCAAATGATGATCAAATAGTGAATCTTAAAATGTGAACATGTTTATCATTACATTACCTGCAGAGTTTGATGCTGTGGAAGCTTCCTCATGCTGCTGATGCTTTATTGTTTCCATCTTCCCACTGACAGTTTGATGGTGCATTCCTCCAGTGGGTAAAATGGCCTGAAGGGCTGCCCGTTTTATTGGCATTTCTACAAGTTGGCCAGTCTGATCTCGTGCCACATTAATGCTCGCTTCAGCTCCAAAAATACAGCCCGTCTTGGCTTCAGTCATATCCATGTCATCTTCCTGATAAACCGTCCATCCATCAGATGTCTCTGCAGTACCACAGGTTTTTCTTGCAACAACAGCATCGCTGTTTTTTACTGTTGTCAAACTTGTGAAAACGTCATCTTGTGCAGGTTCAAAATTGTGAGAGGATGACAATTTTTTGCAGGACAGATCTTCTTGTCTCATAACGGAAGGGACTAAATCTGAAGCTAGAGTAGTTGTCAGGCACCGAGTCATATCCATTTCAGCGTCATCTGCAGCAAACATCACAGTCTTCTCCCCACACATGGGTGACATGCCAACGTTTTGGTGGGAATCCAGTCTGATAGCAGTATCAATGTATACAGTATGACTCTGTGTCACATCCAAACAGGAATTGTTAGCAGAGAGTCCTATTTTCCTTTTTCTGTAGTCATCTACTGTCACAACTTTGTCCTGTGGAGAAGTAATATCAGTTAGAGAAGAAAAGTATATCAGATTACAATAATGACCTTTTTTAGTAGTCAGGTATTTAGATATTTTCCAATAAAGATTTAGAATATTGCTATAACTCACATTTATTTCTATTAATTTACTTGTGGAAAAAAACTTCCAGCATCAAATGTGAGAAAATAAATATAATGCAGATTTTCTTATTTAACAACAAAAAAAATAAAATAAAGTTACAACTATAAAACAGAAAGGTTAAGAAAGCAGCAAAGTTGGAACCGAATCAAAATGATTAGATAATCACATTTAGATAAGGCTAGGAAGTCAACAATTTTTAAAAAACAATTCAGAAGCACATAATTGATGCATGTTATTAGCGTATACCTTTCTATGCGTCAATGTTGTTTTATTTTTTTCTATTACAGTAAAAATAAAGGGATACTTTATTATAAAGATTATTTAAACCAATATCATTGCTTGGATTAAGAAAATAAACTAATAAAAAAACTATTTAATCTCACCTGATCCCTTTTTAGCTGCATCTTCAAAGACAGCCTTGATTGGGTTTTCATTCCTGGGGAAGAAAAATATTTACAATAAGGTCAATAAATCTGATCAATTTGATCCTTTTATACAATTAAATTTACAACAGGAGATCATGCTTTTTCTAGCATAAAGTAAGAATAAACAGCAACAACTACGTTTTAAATCATCTAAAGCTAATAAAGGCTTACTGAAATAAGAACATTTCTGTTATTTTATGTTTAAAATTACTTGGAGGTTTTTGCTTACAGTTTATGCTAAAGAGCATTTCAATCTGAAAAACTCACGAAGAGAAAAGACAATTAGAAGAAATGTATTGATAAAGTTATTTGGTCTTTGGCGCTCAGACCTCGGCAGGAGAAAATAGCGCTTAGTTTTGATAGACATGCATGAACAGGAGCAAAGAATAGGGCTGTACTCCCCACCAGGCCTGAAACTGGTGGAGTGGAGATAGATGAAGTTGGTCAGTCTGTAAACTGCTGGTTAGAGAGACTGTGGACTGCGTGAGCTGATACTAGAGCTTCACTCATGGACCTGGAAGATGGAAGTCCAGTTGGATAACACAGGTTGAGAGAACCTGTCCATGATGATCAAGCATAAAGCGACAGTGGAGAGGAAAAACTCCCCGTAGGGAAGAAACCTCTGGCAAAACCAGGCTCAACATGGCGGTCTTCTGCCAGACTGGTTGAAATGAGACGCAGAATGCAGAAAGAGTCCTGGAGTAATGAACTCTGATGAAGTTTTATCTACAATGATGGAGGAGGGGCTGGAGGTGGGTTGAAACGGGGTCACCTGAACGAAGTCACAGCACAACCAGGCAGCCGACAAGTTGCGGATCGGAGGCTTTTTAAGATGAGCTTTGGATGCCGATTGGCTTTCGTGGAGATGTAGTTCAATGCTGATTGGCTGTGTCATAGGTGGATGTAGGAGAGCAGTCTCTTCAGTTGAACTTCCACCTAGGCTCTATAAACTGTAAGCATAAACCTCCAAGTAATTTTCAACTGTAAGCTAAAGAGCAAGTGTTGCTAATCTGGTTGTGTGGAGCTTAAAGTAGAACAGCAGCATCCCTCCCCAACCTGTTACAGTGTACTGTACCCTAGTTGGCCAAACAGTGGCTAAGTCATTTTAACCCATTTACTTTGACTAAAGCAGGTTAAATCTAAATGTATTCAATCGATTTCAGCCATTTGTACAATATTTGATGGCTTGAGAAACACTGTAAATCTATGTGGTGCATAGGGAAGAGCAGGTGCCTAGTATATGGAGATTTGGAGACTGACATAAGGAATAATTCCCAGCCTCAGTATCATAGCTGCATCATGTCCTCGTTTGCCTTAAGTGTCCATTTTCTGTCCAATTATTGTTGAAGCTCCAAAATACTGATAAACTAAAAATGTTTATAGAGTAACAACATGACAAAACAAAATATTTAAGGTTATGTTCAAGAATTTCCTACATCTCAACTTGATTGTTCCAAAAATACCAAGCACACATAAACTTTAAACATTGCATCATGTTGCAACAATCAGTTTATCAAGTTTTGGTATTTTTCCTAAATCATTACCTTTTTACCTTTCATTTCTGTATTTTATTGCATCAAGAAAATAAACAAAAAATAACTAATATTTACCTTTATGATCAGATGTTTGTGGTCCTTTGTTTTTCTGCTGGCCTAAAGCAAAGACTTCTTTCTTTTGACTAAACTGAAGAGAATCATCTGGGTCACTGACTCCTAAAATACGCCCTGTTTGAACCTCAGTCATTTCCATGCTTGTATTGGCTCCTATAATGCGCCCTGTTTGAACCTCAGTCATTTCCATGCTTGTATTGGCTCCTATAATGCGCCCTGTTTGAACCTCAGTCATTTCCATACTTATGTCACAACTAGGACTGATCACTGACAGCGCCTCTCTGCGACTTCTGTTTCTACTCAGAGAGCAGTTCTCTTCATCATCATCATTCTTTAGCATTTTGTGCTGTGACAGGAAGTGATCTTTGCTGATAGTTTGCTTGGAGGTTGGAGCAGTGTTTGGTTGGATTGTGGGATTCTGAGGATTTCTACCAGAGTCGATAGTTTTGGAACGACTTGGAGTAAACATAGGAAAATGTGAATCCCGGCAATATGCTGGTATTTGTGTATTGGCTGATAAGCTGCTGTTGATGTTTCCAGTGCGACTTTGAGTGATGTGCATAAGCTCATCTGTTTTCCCCCCACGGTCACTTTTTACAGCTGAGGTAACCTGAAAAGCAAATGAACCAAGATATCGACTTAACATACACTTACATCAAGATTATAAAATTTTAACAGTTTTTCAAAAATCTCTCACATTTTGTTTACATTTTTTATTCTTTTTATTTCTTAACTACAAGTTTGCTTGTTTGTGTGTTGTACCTTATCACCAAAACAAATTCCTCACAAGTGAAAAGTCTGCTTGCTTATAAAGCTTTTTCGGATTTCAAATGAAAACTCAGAAACTCACCATATAGTTTTCCTGAGGGATAGAAACTAAAGGTACAGATTTCTCAGCTGAAAGAAAAGAAAAAAACATTTTTGACATTGTTAAGCCACTCATTATTACATTTATAATTACATAGATTAATCTAGCCATTTCCATAAATGCACTTTTTAAATATAAATCAACCAACTCATTGTGGAGCTCCTACATGAGTCCTGGAATTACGGTTATGTTTTTAGGGGATCTTACCTCTGCTAAAGTCTATATGCTTACTATTAACCTATAGTAATAATCCCTGTATTTATTTCTGCTACCGGTATATAAACAAATAAGCAATTCTAAGTTCATCCAACCATATTTACTCTATTCTCAGCCACACTGGTGATAAGCATACAAAAAATGAACATAGGTCTAAGTAAACAACATCAAGTCTAGTTAGAGCCAGAGAAGCTACAGACAACTTCATAAGTTGAAATTGTTCCTACCTTTTACAGAGTTTGAATCCAAGCTGGTATGGCCCTGTTGCTTTGTCATTTCTCTGGCTTGTGATGCTGTTCTTTCAGAGTTTTTGTACATCTCTTGAGATGGAAAGAGACACTGGAAAGGATCATCGTCATCCAAGAGAGTATGACCGGTCTGGGCTTCTGTCATGTCCATGCACGCATCATCCTCTGGATGGAGAGGACTACCACGAAAGGCTTCTCCAACACTCCTTCTACCGTTTAGAGACTTGGGGACCTGATTTTCTTTGTCAACATCTGAGTTTTGCGTTTCACTCGTAGATGAGGATGATTTTTTTGTCTCAGAGGATGGTTTTATCCCGATGAGAACGTCGTTGGTTGTGCAGGAACTTGGTTTGGCGAGACTTAAGAGGAAGTTTTTAAAGTCAGGATCCATAAAAGGCACTGTAGTGGAAAGGGTTCTCTTTTCCATACTGGAATGTGCCTTTTTATCAATCAGTAAAGGTGATGACTTATTTGCTGCTTGTACAGAGTGACTGGGAGGTACGTCTGTGATTAAATCAATGACTTTCCCCTCTCCAAAGAGCTCTGCATTGCTGCTGATGTGTGTGGTGTGATTGTGAGTGATGTCCATGAGGCCATCCTCAGCAGAAAACACGAATGTTTTCTCTCCAAAGTCACCCCCACTGTCAGCATGGACCTAGTGAAAGTAAATACTGTCAATAAATAATAAATACAGTGTGAACACACAAAAAAACTAATAAATAATAAAAGGTCAATTTCAATGGAAAAAAGTTTAGTCTCTCTGTTCAACAGTTTGGTTGGTTTTAAAATTAAATACAGTGGAATCCACTTATAGTGGTC